CCAATCATCTTTCATGTTCCTTATGGGCTATCTGTTGTTATTTTCCCCAGACTACCCCTTTTGTCAAAACTGCCATTGTATGTTCTTGTTGTAGCAGACCTCTTTTTCTCAGGACTTGTCTCCTTCTACTTTCTCTGGTCTAGCATATTCTTTGAGTGAGTGGGATTGTATTCTTTAGCTTCTCCTCCCACCATATTTGGCATATCACAGCCTCTCTTGCCTCTTTGCATCACCAGTATTTAGTGAAAATCTTACAGGCTGGTATGTGGACTACACCTAACATATCATCTCTCATAACTTACAGATTGATGTACCTCTTGGTTCACCTCCCACTAATTGCCATTTTCCAGTCTACCGAAAAGCTCTAGTGTGGTGAGTTTTGCCTGTTAAGTTTTCAGTTACCTCGATGCTATTCATAAATTTCATGGCACATTTGTGTGTTTGCCATTATTTTTGTACAAATTCCAACATATTGCAAAATGATCACACAAAAAGAATGGAGGAGAAGGCAATACTCACCAGACTAAATGTAACATGAAGAACTAACCACTACATACCTTATGTTTTGTGCCATTGGATTCATATTGAAATGAGTGAAGTAGACCAGCTTCATAAGACTGGATGAAATGAGGATTCTCAGAAAGTTTCCTTATCACTCTTTAACCCTATCGAGATGGGTAGGGGTCAGAGGACTTGTCATCACATTTGTAGACTTACATTCAACACTTTATTTAGATATTATTTTATAGGTGTTTGTCAATAAGTTTGCTATCAAATTTTATATTATAATTCAAATTTCAGTATTATACACTAGTCTACAAAATATAGTGTAAGATGGACTAAAAAGACCGTTATCAAAGTTGAAAAAACCTAAAATAAGAAGGAATAAAAAGACCGTATCAAAGTTGACAAAATCTAGAGTAACAAGGACTAAAAAGACCGTTATCAAAGTAGACAAAATCTAGTGTAAAAAAGACTAAAAAGACCATTATGAATTAAATAAAAGGCCTGGTATGTGGCCTTCTGGGTTTGGTCAGATTACATTTTATGACGCCCATAATACAACGTCTATAATTTCGTATAAATTAGAAACTCAAATGTTTGATATTGGCAAGCTAGAATATAAAATAAGAAGCTCTTACCTTTTCCATTTGCTCAGATATGATATTTAGCGAATACACCATATTGACTCTGCCCACCACTTCATCATTTGAGGAGACTTGTTTATTTACGCTTACTTCTATATACCAAAAACTTTATAACCAATCAAAAGCTATATATTTCTTTTACATACTACATTGGAAAGTTTGAAGTATTGCTATCAAGGCTATTTTGTGAATAGAAATTATATTTTTTTAGACCCAAATATTATTTAGTTATGAAGCCTGATAAATTACAGTGGATTTTTGGGGTATTGGTATAGTAATTTATATTTTTTTGTATTCCAAAATGCTTATATAAAGTCTACAAAAATTATAATTTTTCCATCTCCACATGCGCATACTGTATGGTAGCCAAGTTTACTTGCTTGCAGGTAATAGTTCATAAACTCCCAGTTGAACTTTCAGTTCGCTGGTAAATAATTTGTATTTAAAGTTATAATCAAGAAGGCTAAGCTAAGAATACTAGCCCAATTAAAATGACCCATATTTATATTACTGGAAACTATACATTTTGTTGGTTACTGTGTAAGCATGGTGCTATAGGAAATAGGATGTTCATAAGCACTAACATACATTTACATCTATACCAATGTTAAATCCCGACTACTCAGGAGGTTAACTAACATCCAAATACTTTACAAGTTTATTGGATCAGATATAACATTGTACATAGCCATAATTTTCTTTCACTTTTATAAACTACTTTAGACAGTTCTTGTTGCAACCACTGTACTGTTAAGAAGCTGATAAATTCTACCCTAATGTATTCTCGGAGCCAGAATGCAGGATGCATCTGCTTACTGACTTATTGGATCGGCCTGTGGACTTTTTACAAAGTCATAACATAAACATTTTATAATACTTTAGACAATTGTTGTTGAAACCATTATACTCTCAGCATGTTGGTAAATCATGCCCCATTGTGTTTTCAAACCAAGGAAAGTTCTAGGAATTGTGCTGCATGAGCTTATTTGATATTGATGGTGTCCAAATAAGTAAGGAGAGGCGATTCATTCAGCTGCTAACAGTAGAATAAACATAGGAAATAGGTGTAAAAAGATTAGAAGAAACAGCTAACAGTAGAATAAACATAGGAAATAGGTGTAAAAAGATTAGAAGAAACTGCTAACAGTAGATTAAACATAGGAAATAGGTGTAAAAAGATTAGAAGAAACTGCTAACAGTAGAATAAACATAGGAAATAGGTGTAAAAGATTAGAAGAAACTGCTAACAGTAGAATAAACATAGGAAATAGATGTAGAAAGATTAGAAGAAACTGCTAACAGTAGAATAAACATAGGAAATAGG